GTAGGCACGCTATAACTTAGCACGATAGTGGCTGGGCCACTGATCGGGAGTGTATCCATCCGGTTCTGAAAATACGCAGTTGGTGTGCGCCGTTCGCTTACGTTACTGTCTTCCATTGCCTTCGGCACCGAGATAAATAACTAGTTGTTCCCTAAAACCCATGATCACGGCACTATCTCTGGCACGTGGTTGCTAAAAGAAGGGTTAGTATAGTTAATCAGACTTCGCTATCTATCTAGTGATCTTACGCTTCCCGATGTAGGCAATTTTGACATGTGGGATAGCGCCAACTAGTGCAATGTCTCACCGCTAAGAGGAGAGGACGAGAGGGAAGAGGCGTAATTGGCTTACATATATCCGTGCGTTATGTCGTGAGATGACTACGTATAGTGTTTCCTCAGCATCAGCAGGAAAGCTGCAGGCAGTTATCTCGCTAATGTAGTGAGCTTATCAAAGCAGGGTGAAATTTTTTGGGTTTCTTTGAAAAACTTGATATCTATCTAAATAAAAACGGTCACCTTTATACAAGGGAAGGTAAGTTCGCAAAATAATGCCAAGTTTCGAGATGACGGGCTAGACTCATACATAGACAGATATCTAGATAGACGGAGGGATTGACGGACCCATGTAGTAGTCAATGCCGGCGGCATTAGATAGAGTTATCGTGCATTGCATATGCGAGTTGCGAACAAGGGATCGACATATCGCGTAGGGCTGACGAATGAGAAGCATCTAACCAACCCAAACCTAACCAGACATATCCAACACCCACGTCAGATGGGGAGCAAGACGTAGATAATACCTATAGACTATGGTAGCTAGACATAATAGAGGTAGAATGCGAACTGTTGTACATTGAGACAGTGAGAGAGAGAATACGCGCACGTGCAATCCAAGCCACGCGTCTACATACGAGCATTCGTTATCTCCCACATATGCGCATGTATTGCGCATTGCAGATCTACATACATAAGTGCGCTCGGTACGCGGAGTTTGGCCCATCGCCCGCTAAAAAGTGCGCCAAGTACCGACGACCCGGGTCACCGTTGGGACCACATGAGCCGTGGCTGTGCGCGCGGCGCTGATGGTGGTGGGCTTGCGTACGCTATAAACCGTCGTCGGGTGGGCGGTGAGCAGCGTAGGTACCTACCCGCCTACCTACTTATTTACCTGCCTAGCTACCTATGTCGAGCCAATACGCAATCACAATTGTACATAGCTTGAAGGATACAGAAGCGGATCGGGGTGACTCGGAATCGGCTCGATGCTTACGCACACACACACACCTTACCCAACTCTATCTGACACACTCTCTGCTACTCGCTTAATGTGGAAAGCCTTCACCCCTCCCACTGCTGACGGGGTTGGGGGATAAACTTGCGAAGATGGCTTACAAGTCCTCGGAGATGGCCGATGTCAATACTGGTTTGCTAAGTGGGCGTTTTGAGGCACGAGTAACGGCACAGATAGTATGAGAAAGTGGGAGAATCTTGTGATTTCGGTCACTCATCGGAAATAAGCCATAGTGCGGTAGATGAAGGTTCAATTTAGATAGGTTTGGATTATTTCGGATAGTATCAAAAGCCATGCCTAGGTATGACCACTAAATGCCCGTTGCCTCCTGTAAAAGAAACAATAAAGAAACAACCACCCTACCCTAGACGCCGTGTATGCTGAGGGTTCGATGCTATATAGAGCTGTGAAGATGATGGGAATAGTAAGTGTACGGTGATGATGTGGTGGTTATAATGCTATGAAGAGAATGATGAAGAAAAAAATCAATAACCCGCAACACCGACCATGCATGGATTACCGTTAACCAACCAGAAAAGATGCAATAATCAAGATGCAAATCAGAACTCCTGAACCGGCAACACAAACCGGACCTTCTTCCTGGGCTTTGCAGCCGGTATATCTATAGGTTGAGTCTTCTTCTCCGAGCCGTCATCGAGATCCTCGATGCTTAGTCCCATTTCGCTTCTTGTTTCCTTCTCGGGTTCTTCGTCGATGGACCAGACATCCGGGCTAGGTTCGCGCCAAGAGTGTCGCCGCTGTAACGTACGGTTGGCAGGCCGCCCTCGCAAAACATGGCGCGGTGGTGGAGTGAAACGTTTGGCAAGGCGGCCTCTAGGCGATCCAACGTGGAATGAAGATGGTGATAGTAAATCCTCGTTGGTGTTGGAGCTGTGTCGAGGATGATCAAAGTAGTCGTCGAAGCCAAACGGAAGTGACTTCTGAGGGGTAAATCGTATGTAGTCCTCATCATCGTCATCATCCTCGTCCTCTAGCGTGTTATAATCTGCTTCTTTGCTCCTGGCCTTGTATCGCCTAAGACCATCGAGTGTTGAGGGGCTAACACTCCGAACAATATGACGGGGACTATTCGAGTCCTCGATGCCCGCATCGAAATCGAACTCAAATTCCATTTCATCATCCCCAGGGGTGGCAGGTGTTAAAAAGTATTTGAGAGGGTTCTCAGGCCGTGCCGAGTTGTCAATGTCTTCATCATCTGTAGAAAGGCCGTCCTTGTCTTCGTCAAGTGCCGGTGGAATTCGACTAGGACTTGAAGGCCACAACCCGCTAGGTGGCCATGACTGCCGTTGCACTATATTACGTGCATCTGATGGTAAGAGAGGCATGTTGGTTGATTGTAGGGAGTAGAGTTTATTAGAAAAGGGATCCTTCGTAGTGACAGTGGGCTCTCCGGTATCATTTCTAGCCAAGAGAGCTTGAATATTTCATGGGTTGAAAGAGGGGTCACTCTTCTTATCAATAAATCAGGGCCTCCTCGACTGTGCCGGGCCCAAGCCGGCTCAAAAGCGAGAAGTGTAGTGAAAGTGTCAGAAGAAAATATGTCGAAGGCTTAAGCCAAAAGTGACAAGTCTCAGTAGCGTGACAAGAGAAGCTGCGGCGGCGAGGCCAGATATATTTATATTGGACTGTAGGCAGAAGGAATATGTCAGAGAAGTGGCTGGTGCCCGGTTAGTCAGTCACCTGTTGGCCAAAGACGCTGCCTTGTGGGTTAATCGGCAAAGATGAGCATGGTGGTCATCCCGGTCACTCAGCTGTCGAAGAGGGAAGATACCTCAGAAAACCCCACAGATGCGACGGGCGCGCGGTGAGGGGCTGACGATCCATTGCTTATTGCCGTGAATCAATCACAGGGCGCAGGGAACGAAGACTCATACTTTTTGGGGTTTAGGCCAAGAGAGAGACTGAGCGAGCGAGATATCTTCCCAAAACGGCATGATGCATGAGCAAGATGGTGTGCAGCCCAGAAGGGAAAACCGGGTGGAGGATACGAGTGCCCGCCGAGTTATCTGCCTCCAAGGCCTAGTCGCCTCCCGGGTAGGTAGTCAGAAAGTGATTGTCCCCCCACTTTCGCTACTCTCGTCGCCTTTGTCAGTTTTGTCAGTCTTGTCGACTAGGCATCTGACATGCTTGCACACCCTCTCCCGCCGCCATTTCCTGTAAATCCGGCGTAGTGTGCATCTGTATGCGACGCTGATGAGGCTCGTGAGCCTTCGTATCATTCGCCGTTGTCTTAGTGAGTCGATCGAAATGCACAGTCAGGGATCGGGATATTGCGCATTTGTTGCTGCAGCCCATCCGCTTCGTACCTTGCATAAGTTGGGTGCTCAATTACCTACTATACATATGCATAGATATGCGTAGCAAATAGATAGACAGCTACTGTATGCTGTAATACGCTCACCATTTCAAATGCGTACGGCGGTGGTGTGATGTGCACAACTAGGCAAACGAATATCCAACTTAATAATCAAATATTCGGCTGCTGCGGCTACGATGCACAAGAATGGTACATGGGCTCACCATATCGCGACGTACTTAATCTAAGATAGGTATCGTTAGCTGTGATCCTATCTACGTCTCTCTGTATATACCCACCTTGTGCTGTAGCCACATGCATGTATGTATGTAAGATCCTAGATGAACTATAAAATGCTTAGTATATAACTACTTACTTAGACACTTATACCATTTTGTATAGAGCTAAAGAGAAAAATGACCTCCGGTTGGATATATTTCAAACAAGATATCATATCATTCATTCACTGCGCTAGGGAAATTGTCATTGACTAGCCCAACACGCATAGTCAAGCACAAGCCCGGGTTGTTGGCATCAGGAATGAACATACCTAGGCAGATGCAGCTCGACCAAGTTCAACGGGCATTTACCAGTGCGGCTTGTGGTGCGGAGGTGGTGTTCCGCGCAAGCGGTGCAGTCGCACGGCACTACTTACATACAAAATACCACCACCACAATCACCACCAACCACTACTCTCCCCACCACTTTCGGTGTGACTGGGGAAAGTACTGCGTGCGGCATAATGTAACCGTGAAAGGATCGCGTTTGCCTAGGAGAAGGACTTGATTCGAGAGTTTCAACATCCATCAGGTGACAGCCTGGAGGACAAGCAAGGACTTATCTTATCAAGAGCCTATCGCCCGATTGCAACCCAAGAAAATGAAATGAAATGGAGCCATGACGGTGAACGCGCATGGCGGGCGGGCGATGCCCCTCACCGGGAGGATTCGGGAGTTGGTCGAACTGCATTTTCATGACGGGTTTCGCAGTTTCCCGGTACTATCCAACGCGCGCCCACCACACTACCTACCTACTTACGCACCCACTTACACACTTACACACAGACTTACGTGTAAGTAGGTAGCCAGGCAGGCAGTAGATGCCCAGTATGCGCAATTTGCTTTCCTTGTATAAACCAAGACGCATTGGAGGGTCCATCAATGTATCCTATACGTAGAGTAAGTAGTCAGAACTCGAATGCTGGCGTATGACAAGACAAAGCGTTTCGACCCTCAATTCGCGCACGCTTCTTGCTGACTCGCTCGGTTCGGGGCCTTGCTCGTTAGCGGCACCACAGAACACAAAACACCTACCTAGTCCAAGCAAAACGCCAAAGTCCATTTTAGCGAGCCAGGCATCCACACAGGAAGCTCGCGTCTTCCTCTCCTGGGGCTTGTGGTTTAGTGGTATAATACTCCCTTAGCATCCGATGGCGTCTTCCTCTTGCGAGGAGTCCCTCACGAGAAACTGGGAGTGGTCCGGGGTTCGATTCCCCGCGAGTCCAACGTTTGGTGGTTCAATCCCACCTATTCATACCCTCGATTTTCTCCGAATTGGTGTAGTGGCTAACATTTGACGCTCTCATCTCATGAAGTACCGTCAAGCCCGGGGTTCGATTCCCCGATTCGGAGTGGCTCTTTGATTTTTGGTGCGTCTATTCTCCCTTAGAGACTCGAGAGACTTTTTTCTGTTCTCTTTCTCTTTTGCTAGTCGTTTTCTTTCGAAGCATGTGTAAGTCGTTGGAGATAAGATGGTCGGTCGGGTTGGTTATCACCATATGGAGACGGGTGGCTTGCCTTGTCCGCAACCTACCTCCCTCTCCCTAACATAGAGTTACGGAATGCCTAAATAGATATACCTAGAACATTTCGCTTCGTCGATCTGCAGAATGTATGCATTCATCCCGGATGGATCTTTCGCTAGTTTTAAGGTTAATAACCTGGTCGCCGATCGTCATATAGGTTTCGAGGCTCGGCCTAGTCCGCCCCAACTACCTAGGTCCCTAGGGAGTATGGAACTAGGCGCCTCGAGTTTGCTGAAAGATCTAATGCGACAGGGCTGACGGGATCGCGACTACTCGACTCGCCTGTAGGCCAGTAGCCGGATAGCGCCTTACCTAAGGTAGGTACCTATCTGTACGGTAGTATTAGAAGGCGGTATCTATGCAGGTAGCCCGCTAAAGAAGTATCACGTGAGGCAGTGGTAAAGAGGTAGGTAGGGAGCCTACCTTGTAGGTTAGTGGTTAAGAATCGCCCAATCAGCATTTAATGGCCCGATAATCAAGACATCCATCCACCCTTCACCCTCTCTGCACCCTCCCAGTGCGACTGTTTTGTTTGCCATCGTCGATCCCTCTCCGATCAGTGTCAACTGGCGAGGTCATCCAGCCCGTGTTCTGCCCATGTTTCTTTTCCGTAGTACAGTGTTTTCCTTTATATATATCTGCTATGACGTCAACAAGCCGGGTTTGAATAGAGTACGGAACCTGCAAAGGACCGAGCCGCACCACTACTACTATCTACACCCTGCGCATTCTTGGGTGTCAAGATCTACCCGTCTGGGACCTGAGCATCCACCCGGGAATCTGGGTAAATGGAGTTATTCATAAACACTTGTCAGCCGCTGCCCGTGTTATGATGGGCGCGCCGTCAAGCGATTCAATCACTTGATCCCCGACTCGCCATAAGACCGGGAAGAGCTCTCTGGTGTCTCGAGAAGATCGCCAGAAACCAATTTCTATTCCCAGCCATTAGATGATCACAACAGCGCGAAACCGATGGCGGTAACATCTGCTATTATTTCTTGATATTCGTTAAGACGCGGCTGGCAACATAGTTCAGCTAAGAATCAGGACTGCTGTCGTGGGTTGGTTTCAACTGCTGCTATGGAGCCTCATGCTCGATTCTATTCTCGTCTCTAGAGAATTGTCGACGGATTGCTTTCTGTTCGGCCTTATGCTAGCCTTTACTGATATCTGATACTGTGTTAGGTTGGTGGTGCGGTGTGTCTGCTACGTTCCCTTGCTTTAGGACGGAGACATGATCAGTGAAAATTACCACCATCCCGACCCGACTGTCGTCGTCGGAGAAATGGGAGTACGCGATCATGCCATTTTGGATCATTTTCTCCCATATTGCTTAAGCCCTGGATTGGAGAGCCCGATCCTAGGCATTCTAGTCCTATGGTCTTAGGGTTCTGGTAAATTTCGGGACGGTGAGCTCGGACGAGTTGAAATCGCTATTGGTATCCCGGGCGAGCTGTAGCTATAAAGCTACGTGCTGCTCCGGCCTGTAAGGTCATCGCGCCGTTCAACTTCAGCGGAGAATCGGAATGGGACATATATTGACCCTCATCTTACAGACCAATACTAAGCACATGGGCTTATGGCCTCTTGTATGCCTAGCGCCTATGCGAAACACCCAATTCTCGTCGCATAGGGCCTTTCGTTCCCAGAGAGGTGCCGTCTCCAAGTCTAGTTTTTACAATGGCACTCTATCCGCCTTAGAGGCCGCGATACGTACCGAATAAAACTACCGGTGACGTCTATTGTGCTTACCTAGTATTCAGATTATCTCCTGATGGGAATGCCCGGGCTAGTCGAATTGAAGCTTACTTAGCCTAGTAGTGCTTTGGTTAGTCGCCTACTACTAGTACGACAGTACGGTGACTATGTAGAGCACTCACATGCCAGGTATGCTTGATCTTGGGCTGCGGCCCAGATTCATGAGTGAGATTATCAATATAGTACATCATTTCGGTTTTCAACGTTTCGAGGGATATCAATGCTTTAGTGAGATTAGGCGTCGGCGTCTATCACGACTAAGCGCAAGTCCAGTTCGTCAGTGAGGCGGAGGGACCCAATTGTTCCGATCGAAGAGAGAACCACGTCACTTCGAAATTATGAGGCTAGACGGCCGGTAGTGCTGTAAATTTCGAGATGGGTCTTACCAAAAAGCACCTAGCACGATACCATCGTGGCGTGGCTTGGTATCGATACCCCGAAGGCTGGGTCGCAATGACGCAGTGAGAGTGCTCCTTCGGTTGAAAAGAGCGGTGAGGCTAGGTGGATTGCCAGCTAGAAGAACCAGCCATCCTCCGTACAAATCAAAATGTTAGGGAATCTCAGCACAAAGGTGAGTTTCACAAAAATACCAATGTTCACTTCCTCATTACTCCTATGGCATAGCCGTATCTCTTGCGCCGCCTTGGAAAACAAACGAAAAAATTTTCTATCTCTTAGGCTACCATTATCGATGCTGGGCCTCTGCATGCTACGCGAGCTGTCACATTTCATCCCTTGCCTTGTTATTGGGGTATAGTTAGTTAACGATGCCTTGTAGTTGCGAATTGGGGTGGCTAAGCTTGTATAGGTAGGTATGACAAGTGTACTATCTATTGGATGTCGAGCAAAGACGGCATCGACAATAATCATCTCACGAGATTCAACGGGTCTAACCGACTGCTTTGTGTCTCAACTTATATAGAACCTAGTTAATCAAGGCCCCCTACGTGGAGGGCTCTTACGACGACAAGGCGTCTCTAGAGCGTAGAAATCATATGGTATTACCCTCGAAACAACAGCGGAGTAGCTTATGATGATCGATCCCGTGTTGGTATGTGTATAAGTTAAGGATTCTGCGCACCAGGATGTAGGCAACTCATCTTCGGCTTGCATGGGAACCATAGTTGACGATTCTAGGCACGCCTTCCTGTACGCGGACTTACGAATTATGCTTAATATATCTAGCAAGTAGAAAAAAGGAGTTCTTGTTATATTCACGGTTTGTTTGTTTATCAAATGTAAGTTGTAGAGTTTTTTCACACCTAGACTATCTAGATACAGGGTGTAAGATTTCTATGCAGGACTGCTGCATACTGTATTCCGTATGGTCGAGGTAGCCGTGGCCACTCAGCCACATACGCTGTCCTATATTGTAGACTAGGTGAGCCAACCGACCTGCACAAACTAGCAAATTGTGAAGTCCACATGTAAGTCTCCTACTAGGTATGTATAGAGTAGACATCGTATTGGGGGTTTGGGGGATGTCAGCCAGAAATAGGAAAACGGCCACCACTGTAAAACCAATGGTTATTTTTGATATTCAATTGCCATTCGTTCGAGGTCTATGATACACTGGACAGGCGTGATGCACGCTACATGGTCCATGCTACACCGTGTCGACTGGTACGGGGGCCAATTGCTCTGTAGTTGGACAAGTGTTCAGCGACAGTCCAGGGTTCGCCCAGACCGCCCTGCTGCCACTATGCCACGTCCTCTCTCCAGCGCGCAGAGGGTATGGTGGTGAAGTACGAGCTTGCGCTTGAAAGGGTGTCGGTGCACGAGAGTCGCGCGTGACCTTAATTCGCGAAAGCGCATGATGACTCTTTGGTCGAGGCGAGATGTGGGTATGGGATCGTCTACCTACATACAGTAAGTAGCTCTGTCTGGATGGAGTTGGCCCCCCCCCCCCCCTCTCTCATCGAGAGCGTGGACGAGGGCTATCTAGGTAACTAATGCACGCTCCCTTATTACCTACTGTAGTCCGGAGTGGCAGGGTGGTGGGACTTGAGCCATGTACTGCAGTCAGTCAGTCAGTCAGTCAGTCAGTCTCGTATGACAGTACCTACTGTTATGTGTCTTGAGAACTACATAGGCAAGTAAATGTAATGAGTACTGTAAGTGTGTATGTATGTGTATGTAGATGTTTAGATAGTACCTAGTTACGGGTATGGGTATGTATGGGTACGGGAATGGGAGTACCTGAATGGGACGGAGTGACTGCGTTGGCATCCATCGTTAATTTTTTTTTTTTTTTTCCTTTCCTTCTCTCTTACAGCGCGGTGCCTAGATCTAACGAGCAAATAATATGCCGCCGTCTGAGACTGGGCTTGATGGAGCTATAAGCCCGGGCGGACATTGGCGGTGCTGTACATACATACTTACATACGTACGTGTGCGTTGTCGAAGACAGATAGACGGTTCGGTCGGACATGAAAAATGACATGCCACCCTTTCCCAAGTTTTGAGCTGTTTTTAATGTTATGTTTTACTTCTTTGAAAAATTTACATGCAGCCACCCAGACCAAACCTCGATTGTAGAGCCACAGAAAATAATCACACAGACCAGAACAAAGGTTTCTTGTTTTGCTCTCTGACCAAGTTTTATTCTCTCGTGGTGTTGTTGTAGAGTACCGGCCACAAACAGGTCTTGTCTTGTCCTGTCTTGTCTTGCTTATTCAGATTTTGAGAATTTGAGCAGTATTGGTACCCAAACCCACCCAAAAAAATCCCGACTTGGGCATTAAACGCCACAGACGGGCTCACTCGCAGATTCTCCTCTGTTCTCCGTTCCGTCGAGAGAGAGGCATCGAAAAACGTCTCTTCTAGACTTTCGGTTTCCCGAGCCGCAGTTTTCACCTTTAGAGATTATTAGAAACCCCCCTCCTTAACCAAACTCGGTGCTCGTACTCATACAGATCATACTGTACAAAGCCACCTTTTCCTGACCTCTTTCCACCCAAGTTACACACCACACACATAATACACCACAAACCATCAGGGCCAACCCGTCCGTTGACTTACACCGAAAGGAACAACCATCCACTCGCCCACTCATCCACCCACACATAC